ACAACCAAATCAAAACTTAAGACAAGGATTTCCGCTCACAAATCGAACGTAAAATTAAGGAACACTTACTCGGACAACAAGGCGGCCTTGTCATCACACTGTAAACACACGGGACATTACCCTGATTTTGATAATGTGAGTGTTTTAGAAGAAGAGAAAAATTACTACAAACGCTTTATATTAGAAATGCTCCACATTGTGAACACCCCTAATGATAAAAGGATGAATTTCAAAACAGACACTGGAAACTGTGCCCATGTCTACCGCAACATAATATTAAGGCACAACAAATAAGCCTAATATTGTTTATTATTCGTTCCGTGTCCGAACTTCGTCTATGATAACATTGCAATGCTGGATGATTTGCATACATATTTATGTCGTACTGTGTGCCGTCCAATGCAATGTTGTTTGTATGATTTTTTGTTTACAATTACTGTTCTTTCATTTGTTTATATTTTTATGTCCATTTCGTCTCATTGTTTGGTTTGTTAAATCTTTTCATTTTTGCACACATTAGTCTACCAGGCGCAGCCGAATGTGTAAGTTGTGCTTATATACAGTATGTTGATAGTCTTTTATGCATTTTTTGTAATTATGATATTTATTGCAGTCCTGATGATGACTTCAGACTGAAGTCGAAATATAGACGATTTAAAAACAACAAAAACAGATTGTTTTATTTCAACCCGGCCTTGAGCTCAAAAAAAATATCAACAGAATTTTCAATTAACGGCCAAATATAAATAAACAATATTCGAAAAAATGTAAATATTTCAAAAACGGTGACACTTTTACCTGAAAATTTTTTGTTTATCAGTGAGCTCACCCCCCCACCTACCTTCCCCTAAAGTTTGGCAGGTTACTTCTGGGACACCCTGTATGTATCTCGGTAACCGTTCTACCAATTTGTACCAAACTCGGTATGATTATTGTGCTTGCCACATGGAAGCAAAACGTTGAAAATTATTGGAATCATATTCAAATTACGACCACTTTTCATATAACGGCATATTTCAGAAATGCTTAAACTTCAATATTTCGAAATTTAAGGACGCTAATTTACTCAAAATTGATGCACACCGGCTTACCATGTAGCGGCAGCTTTCGCAAAGGTGAAAATCATATACTTAGTACCTGCGCCGGGTATTTAATGTTCGGCTCCGCCCAAACTTAGACTTTCTTACTTGTTTTTTTTTTTTAATTTTTTGAAATAATCATATTTTCCAAATTCCAAACTCCTTTAGAAAAATCCTGACGTCAGAGAGAAAAACTAAGTACGCACTTATACGTGACTCAAACAAATGACCACGTGTTTTTTTTATACCCGAGCGCAGGGTCTTATAACTTTGTTCACATAACAGTTGTTTGTAACAGGCAAAACGTATCGTGATAGATATAGACAAATGTATACATATATGATCAGAATTAAAAGAGAAATCGATTAAGCGGTGACTGTCCGTCCGTCCGTCTGTGCACACGATAACTCGAGTAAAAATTGAGATATCTTAACGAAACTCGGTACGTGCACTTCTTTCGGGCGTAGGACGGATGATATTGAAAATAGGCGTAATCGGACAATAACCACGCCTACCCCCCATATAACGGTAATTTTCAGAAATAAGAAAACTGCGATATTTTAGTAAATACTGAAGATTATTTACTTAAAATTGATATTTACAATTATTTTTAGACGAAAAATAACAATATTTTAAGTTTTTGGAAAATGGGCGTTGCCGCGCCCACTTATGGTTTCATGTGTATGGCTTGGTAGCCGCGCTCACATCCTATATAACGGTAATTTAGAGAAATACGAAATATTCGATAAATCAGTAAATATGAAAGCTAATTTATTGAAAGTTGATGCTTGCAACAATTCTTTACCAAGAAATAAATTTATGATGCAATTTTGGAAAACGGACGTGGCACCGCCAACTTATGATCACATATATGTATGTCGGTAACCGTTGTACCAATTTGTGCCAAACTCGGTATTGTTATTGTGCTTGCCACATAAAAGCAGAACGTTGAAAGTTATTGAAATCGGACTAAAATTACGGAAGCTTTTCATATAACGGTAAATTTCAGAAATGCTTGAAACTTCAATATTTCGAAATTTATACACCCCGGCTGACCATGTAGCGGTATTTTTCGGAAAGGTGAAAAACATACATTTAATACTTGCGCCGGATATTTAATATTCGGCTCCGCCCGAACTTAGACTTTCTTACTTGTTAAATATTCGTAATGTTTTTCGAGCTAATTTTTTTGTTGTTATTTTTCTATAAAAACACCGCTCAAGCTTTAACAAACACAACCTTTTGTAAGCGAGTGACATACCGCGGCTGTCAATAATTATCTAACCTTGTATTATTGAATCATGATAAATCACAGTTACAAGCTTTATACAAAATTTAGGAAAATTCCACAAATTTTCATCAAAATTTCAACTTTTTAATCTGATTCTTTAGTACGTTTTTAGGTATGCAGTCTTAGTCCAATGGAGTGCAAGTTTAAAACGGCTAAAAAATCCCGTTGATTTCTGAGAATTTTTTTTGGTGACGGATTTTTTTCCATATAAGCATGAATTTCATATGAAATAAAGTGCGGGAGACCGTTAGCAACAAATTTCAAAAAATCAACGACATTTTTCGTAAATTAAAAAGTAATATAAAAAAACAGCAAATGTAGTCTTCAAAAAACAATTATCAAAAATCAGCGCGTTTTTTTAGGTGGTTGAAACTTACACTTAACTAAAATTGTATGGGCCAGAAAACTGCATACCCAAAAATGTTGTAAAGATTCAGATTAAAAATTTTAAAATTTGCTGAATTTTCCTAAAATTTGTATAAAGATTGAAATTGTGATTTATATGTTTTTTACTACCGGGCATAGAATTTTCCTTTCAGCTGCCATTTCTTAGTATTGTATACTACATAGAAGGTAAACTTCAAAGGTTAGGGGGGGCAGGGGAGCGGGATGATCGAGCCTCCCACCACCCTGCCCCTAGGTAGCGACGCCCATGGGCACCTACAGTTTTACGCCGACTCATGGCAGAAATACAATCGGAGATTTGCTTTTGCCTGCCGAGGAGCGAACGCTGTTAAGAAGAAACCTTTTTTTTTAATTTTTGTGGGATGTTGCTTTGACCAGGGCTTGAACCCAGGCGCTGCGGAGTGGAAGCGCGCACTGTTTACCACTACACCACAGCGGCCGCCACTTACTTACTTAAACAGGTCTCTTAAAAAGAGCTACAACATTTGCCGCACCAAAATCAGTGTTGCCCTGTGTTATTATTATTGCATATATACATACATACATACATAGTACGTATCTGTAGTTCTATCGCTACGTAACCAATAGCTTGTTTCTGTAACAACTCTCACGTATGAATTCGCCGCCTTGTTCTCTACTGCTAATGAGCAGTAGAGAATGACGTATGTTCTCTACCAGTAGAAATAATCGGTAGAGAAGAGTTACAGGAACGAGCTACAGGCCTGTAACCCTACCCTACTTCAAGAGGCGTCTAATACATATGTGTGTATATATTTTTGTGAAATCATTCGCGTGTACTACTTGTTCATCAACTAAGATATTCTCATCTATACATACATCGGCGTAGCCAGAATGAAATTTAAGCTGGCATTTCAGGGTACTATTTTATATATATGTATATAAGGAAAATTTGAAAGTTAGGGGGGGGAGCGGCCCGAGCACCCCCCTGCCCCTACCTGGCTACGCCCATATATTTTTATATGTACCTGATGCCTCTTATATTGGCACCGCTTGATTTACAATAAAGTGATGTTAATACAAATGAACAAAAACATGTTTGTTTTTTTAAAAATGTCTTTTTTACACATTAGGCTTAAACAAAATTATACCGTACCAAAGCTTGGACATTAGTTTGCATAAATAAATTGTTCACATGGTAATGGACAATATAGCTTTCAGAAAAATAAGCAAGCTAGAACTAATCTGGAAAAAACACGACACAGTATAAATACAATCCATGCCTTTTTCTGAAAATGCTATTTTGTGGGCCTTTGTAGTTAAGCATATATGTACATACATAAGTAAAATAAAATTCAATTACCATCATTATCGTTAGCATGGACAGAACTGCTCGAGCTTATGGACGAAACACTTCCTCCCACAGGATTCTTATCTATAACTTGAACAAAGTAATTTAATAAGTTAGTGAAAGCTCCATTTTGTACAGTATGTTAAATGTTTGTTTTAATAAGATATCTAATTTAGGTTTTAAATATTTATGTATCTAGTAAAATTGCTACTTATATGGGGTATTCACAACGGTGTCGTAAGTGTCGTATTGTTGTATGTCGTAAACTTTAAACGCATAAAAAATGTATTAAGAGGGTTTGAAAAGTACCACCAAAGTCATATTATGAGATTTTGCGTTGTTAAAAAATAGTTGGTTGTCCATTCAAGTTCTCTAAACAGTTATTTAAGCTTTTAAAGTTTACGACATACAACAATACGACACTAACGACAACGTTGTGAGTCCCCCAATAATATTTTTGTCAGCAACACCTGTTTGATTACTGCTGGATGAAAGTATGCCTATGCACTTATACTTTCCTATTGATAAATTGATAAATACAAACCGCCGCCGCACAGAGGTGCGAAAAGGTAATCTAGAGAGACATTTGTGATTTTGGTGAAGTGTCAAATTCAAATATTTTTTACTTACAATTCTGTAACACACTAGTTGATGCAAAAGAATCCACTTTTCTTTTGTAAAAAAAAAAAAACATATTATATGGAGTAAATACGCTATAGTTAGTACACAACTTCTATTTGCTTTCTGCTGACATAAAAATTGTAACAAGCTATTGAAGTGTCTCGACAATTCTGCATACTATTTTGCAATGGAAGCATCAAATTGGTTTAATTCTTTCCTATTAATATTAATTTGTTTTTGTTATTTTATGGCCTTATAACAATTATATTCAAAAATTTTTATTGAGCTCGAGGCCGTTTTTATATGAAAAAATATTGTGGAAAAGCAACAATAATTTTTATTATTATTATTATTATTTGTTTTTAATGGTAGAAGTGATAGCTATTTCGGAAATCACCACATTTCCTCACCAGACTTCTTTCAGTAGGATTCGAACCGACGATCCTACTGACTCAGCCAGTTGCCTTCGCACTCTGCTAAGTTCGCCTTGTGAATTATTGTTGCTTTTTTCCACTGGCCACAACCATCGATAGTTTACCAGCTCTACTTTGGTATCGATAATTACTATAAGGTATGCGCAAGATGAAATTAGTGCACAAAACAATACCAATTACTTTTAAAGTACTTGATGAATTAAAAAGAAAAAGAAATATTTTGAAAAATTTTTAGTTGTTTTAGCAACCTGTTTTGTGCAAATGCTATGTTATTTTTTGCATACTATTCAATTGTTGATTTGCTGTGTTGGCATGAAACCAAATGAAGCCAAAAAATTTTGGAGATTTCATGCTGTCTTTTAAATGGTAAAAGTAGTTATTTTAAGCACTCCTAGATATGTAATTCCGTGTTAATTGTCGCAGTTGTAACAACAAACGCACAAACGAACTGCTACGCATACCACAACTACAAGCGCAAATTGTCATAATTTAATAAAAGTTAAATAAAGAGCAGTTTTTGATAGAAGACGAGTTAAAAACGTAAGGGGTATAGGTATTACATACACTGCAAGTATACAATTTTTGTATTTTTTCGGTTATATTACAAAATCCTTCGAAACATCCTTTTTTCAGTTAAACACTAATTTTTATTTAAAAGAGTGGCTAATTTTGCGCGTTTAAGTACAAGGGAGCGAAAAGCTATAATTAGTCTTCACAATAAGGGTAAATTTACAGAAGCCAAACTTTTAATAAAACACCGGCGGCAATATTCAAGGTTATTAAAACCTTCAAGAACGATGACCGCGTTGAGCGCAGATATTCCCAGGACCGCCCGAAAATGACAACAAAAAAGCTACTACTCGAATAAAAAGCATGTGAGCAGCAGACCCAATACTTTCTGTTCCGAAAATCCACGCCCACCTCGCATCAGAAGGTAAAACAGCACCTACTCTCTCCACTATTCGTAGAAGGCTGCATGTAAACGGAAAGCATGGGAGAGTTAAACGGTGTTCACATGAGGAAATTTTAGAGGCGATTACTTAAATCAAAAGTTGGCTAGCCCACAACTTCATTGCAAGCGATTAGTTCAAAGGCCGTGCACACCAGGCGATTGTTGCTTTCAACTAAAAGTTTCTTGAATACACCAAAATATACGTACATATATACTGCATTTGTACCTACTAGGGATGTTGCGGATGTGAAATTTTAGACATCCGCGGATGCGAATGCGGATGCAAATATCTAACAGCTAACATCCGCGGATTTTTTAAAAAACAATTAGAATCCAGCATAATGGCGAGATCGTTGTTTAAACAGCGCTTACAAGCCAAACCAGATACATATGTCAAGTTGTTTCAGAATTTGGAGAACCTGTAACTTTATCAGAACTTTTCGATTTTAGTTTTTGTAATTCATTTTTAATACTTTCTTCTGCGACTGCTTTGAAAAATTGGTGCTTATAGCCAGCTAAATAGGTGGACATGGAAAATAGATTATTATTTTTGAACAAAATTCTGTTTTCAAAGTCGTGTCTGCCAGCCGAATCGGATCAGAATATTGTTAGTTTTTTTTAAAGCACCCCGTTTTTTTTATAAGCATTTGAATAACAGATAGTTACGTAATTCTTACCTAATTAAAGGTCAGACCTATAGCTTTTTAATTATTTGAGCATCAATTCTCTTTATAGCTAGACGTTGATTCTACTGGATTTCTACTGGAAATCCCTATTGAAGGAGCTTACTCATTGACATTAAATAGCAAAGAAGGGACAGTTTTACCACAGAAGTTTTTAGCCAAGGATCCAGTGTATATCCCTATGAAAGAAATATTATCCAACAAGTAAACAAAACTACTGTTTTTAAAATGTTTGCTAAAAATAAATTCCCCAAAGAGCCCCATTTGAAATTATTCAAACGAATATATGTAATAGGTGGCATACGCGGTACGTCTGACTCACGAGTCATTTGTGTGCGTGTTGACTCGCCTTCGACTACACACAGTTGAATCATTCAGAGTCATGCCGGGAGTCATGTTGGTGTAACTAACACATATTTTTTTTCACAAACACCATCCAATCAGACGCACCGTGTATGCCGCCTATAACATCAAAAGCAAATCACGAAAATTTTGTTAATAATTAAGCAAAAAAAAAATTGCAAAATATTCGCTCTCGCAAAAGCTCCGCATTGATTATTGCGGATGCGAAAGCGAATGCGAATGTTAAAATTAATGCGGAAGCTCCGATGTTGCGAATGCGAATATTGGCAACAACCCTTGTACCTACAATGATGCAACACATGGACACTAGCGTATGCACATACATACATGTATAGATATGCGTGTTGCTGTTCATAAGTACCCTGCGGTGAAACCCCAAACTAGTCAGGAAAAATATTAGTTTACAACTAGAATTTCCTGACTGAAACCAAACTAGTTCGAAAATGACGAGACTTTTACCAAGTACAAAATGATTTATTCATTCCCGGTTTTATTTGACTTCGACAGTTTAATACAATAGAGTACACAAAATATTGTAACTTTTATTTGGGTATTGGGTTATTGGTATTGTAAACCGTTAAAGCGAGTACGTACTCGCAATTGTACCATACCTGTTAAATAATGTTTAATATTCACAATGATTATTAATTAAAGCATGTTTTTTGGATAACCGTTTAAAGTTGAAATACCGATATTAGCACCTTTTTAATGATTAATTAGTTAAACAAATTTTTGAGTTAATTCGTTAATTTTAATTACATCATTATTTTGTTATTTTTGATTAGTTTCAATTATTTTTTACTTTTTTAACTACATGATTAATATAATTATTTGATTAATTTCAATTATCAATCAACAAGCCAAAGTATAGACAAAAATTAAGAATATTTAATAACTGGTTGAATTATTTATTTACTTTATTCGTATCCAAATCTCAAATTTTAAGCATAAATTATTACTTTTAAAATATTTTATAAAGAAAGGACTGAAATGTGCAAAGTTAATGAATTTAATTTATTTTAATGAAAACTTTTATTCTTATTTTAGTTCACTCAAAAATGAACTAAAGTATTCGTTTTATTTTTAACTAAAATGTTTCCTTTTCCATATTCAATATTATTAAAAAAGATAAAAATATAGTATTTATTGGGGTTGGTATCGAAATTCTGGTACTACAAAATTCGGAACACGAAATTCTGCTTCTCAAAATTCTGCTTTTTGAAAATTTTGCTTTTTGAAAATTCGGCTTTTGACAATTCTGCTTTTCAAAATACTGAATTACAAAATTCTGTTTTAAAATATAATGTAAACAATGTTAAATTGGACATGTCATTACTTTAAAAAGTGCGCACTTTTTCAAAGTAATGCCATGTCCTATTTAACTTTGTTTACATTATATATTAATACAGAATTTTGATTTTCAGTATTTTTAATTAGTTTGTAAAAACTTGTATAACTTGAATTAATCATATCGCGAAATATTCTCCTTAGTTTTGGTCAGTGCATGACAGCATGTATCGGAAACCTTTTCTAGAACGTAAAACCGTGGCGAAGGGTGGCATCGCCGCAAAAAGTAGTTGTTGTAGGAAGCAATTCCCAGTTTCTATAATCTTGTATTGAATTTACAGAACTTTTTTTTTGCAAAATCTCAAATTTCCAGAAAAGATAACAAGAAATTAAAAAGAAGCAGCTTATAAAAACTATTATAAACGAAATTACTTATGTAAGTCGGAAGATGGAATTTTGACGGATCAAACCAAAAATTTAATATTTCTCGTGGTGAATACAAACATCAGTGGTGAATACAAACATAAAATTTTGACAGCTTCTAAATATATATATATGTACATACATAATAGGTTTGTTCCACACTCTACTTGTAGAAAAAGTCGAGCAAGGTTCAAACTGTGAGCGTATATCAAAGAAACTCTAAAACTTACTTGTGGAACGCGTATGTATGTGCAACTCGAAGTAACTTCGAGTAGCTTGTGGAACAAACCTAATATTGTTTGGAGGTATTAAAGATTCAAA